AAGACCAGTTGTATTCATTATACCATACTTTTGTTCTGAGATTCTGGGTGGACATGGCTATTTGGGAAACACTGTCCCAGTACAGTCACTGGGGACTGTGATTTCTTTCTTTAGAACATCTCTCACTTTACCCTCCTCTTATCTCTTTTTATTTATTTCTATGGCTAATATCCTAACTCAGACATGTTTCACTTTGTAAGGAGTGGAAGAATTTTCCTTGCTTCCATTTTAGGTTGTTTGATCTAATATTTAAATTGACGTGACAGGAGAAAAACTTTTTCCTTCCTACATATAGGATCCCAAAAGATATGGCCCAGAGAAGTGACTAAAGCAAGCAGAAATGATAAGACAAAAAAATTTGAACTTGGGGATAATAAATTAGTGAGAAAATATCTGGCACATCTTGGTGTCAGATTTTATATCTCTGGTAAAAAGGGTTATCTTTCTTGGGGCCAGAGAGATTGTGCATCTGGTAGGGTGCTTGCCTTGCATGTGGCTGAACTGGGTTAGATCCCTGGCATCCCTCCAGGAGTGATTCCTGAATGCAGAGCCAGGAGTAACCCCTGAGCATGGGTGGGCCCCACCTCATCTTTACCCCTCTCCCCCCCAAAAAAGAGTCTTTTATTTTTTAAACATTATTTTAAAATTTTATTTTCATAAGGTTGTTCATATTAATCGATTACATTCAATATATCAACACCAATCCCACCACATTACACCTTCCCACTACCATTATTTTGAATTTTCCCACCACCTTTCTTGCCTGCCTGCCGCAAGCAGATTCTAGATAATTTATTTTCTGTTACTTACTATGAATACCATGAGTGGTTGCATTGCCACTTTTGCGGCTGTGCACTCCTGGAATTCTAAACATATAAATGATTTGGATCCAGGGACATCTCTGTAGGGAGCTAATCCATTTTGAGGTTCATTTGTGAGTCTCTGGATCAAGGCTAGTGGTGTGCTTATATATGGCCCCGGGGCAGTTCGTGGGTGTGACACCAGGACCCCAAAGGGTCAGGGAGACAGGAAGGGTTGTCTCTCTTCTCATTCAGTCAGCACAGGTACATTTCACACGAGAATGTGGTTTCAGGGGAACAAAAAAGGGTCAGAGCATCCTTGCACCGGCAGAGTAAGCAAGGTTTTGGGTCTGGTTGGTTTGTTTTTGAGATTTAGGGCCACATCTTTATATACTTAAAGGACCACTTCTGCTCTCTGCTCGGGTTTTGAGGTGCCAGGGATTGGACCCTGGGTTCCCACTCAGCACTTTGGTCTCTTTGCCCCTGATTGACTTTAATTCAAAATAATAAGCCAGCATGGAACACATATTCTGTTCTCTTTCAACTGTTAAGGTTTCTCTGTATTAGTTTAGCCAGTTTACTCAACAGATTTATGGAGTGTGTGCCTCTTCTGCACCTAAATGCTGTCTTATTCACTAAAATACAGAAATTAAGACTCTGCACTGAGGAGGTGACATAGTAATGGGTAGGAAACAAAGAAACATGTGGAGATGTGCACTTGAGGAGTCAATTCAAATACTTGATGCTGTTTTATTAGGATACCAGGAAGTCTGGTAACAGCATTTCAGCAGATAGACCTGGAAGAAGGGAAGATGGTTCAGATAGAGGGAATAGAGGGTAAAAGAAAAGGTTAGGGGTTTACTTGGTATATTGAAGGAATTCAAGGAGAGCTGCGTAATTGGAATGGAGAGAGAAAGGAGGAGGCCAGCTAAGGTTTGGGTTTTTGTTTTTATTCTAAATGAGATAGGGAGACAAACTGAAGACTTTCGAATCTAGAAGTGATACAGTTTAAGTTAATTCTTAAAAGAATGTCTCTTTGTGCAAAGGGGTGAAAGAGGACTTGGACTGCTTTTTAGTGGTCTGGATGAAAGATATGTGACTTACAGTAAAGTAGCAGTAGTAATGGTGGAGAGGGTCTATTCTGTTTATATTTTAAATGGAGAGTTTATGATGGCTGCAGGGTATGAGAGGTGATTGATGTTGGGCAACTGCTTAAAACAGTGACTATTTGTTGGCATGGGGAAGAATATGAAAGGGATAGGCTTGGGGATAAAATTAAAGTGTGTGTTTGGACTTTGATGCTTTTAAACTTTTGAGTTGTCCATCAGACTTCCATGAGCAGATACCTAGAAGATACATGAACCAGAAGTTCAGGGAAGAGGATTTGGGCTAGAGATAAAGATTTGGTAACTATATATAAATGGTATTTAAAGCAGTCAGATGAAATGAAGTAAATATTGACACCAGCACTTCACACAGAAAGAGACCTAGGTCAGTGTTTTCCAGCCTTTGTCTGACCGTGTCCCCCTTCCTGTGCTCCTCTCACCCTGGCTATCGTACCAGATGGCCCCTAGTCTTACGCTGTGGCTTGAATTTACAGTTTTCACCTGTGGCCATCTTGGAATATTCTGGGGGCTCCCAGGGAACCATATTGTCCTCAGTTGAGAGTCAGTAATCTAGCACAGAGTTGCCCAAAGTGGCTGATTCTGGGGCTGTTCCAGAGGGTATCCTTGGGTGTAATTGAGTGGGTGCTTTTTGTCTGTTTAAGCAAGGTAAATGTCCAGGGATGCTGGTGAGTGATTTTTTTTTTCCTGAAAATGGGGAAGTAGGCCAAATAAGTTTATATACCTTTGCTCTTAAGTGGTCATTACACTTAAGAAGGTACTCATCCTATTAAATATGAGGGAAATACAAATCAAAACTACAATGATATATTACTCTATACCAGAATATCTAAAATTCTTAAGTCTGATGAGGAGGATGGCAGACAATTGGAACTCTGATCTCTTCTAGTAGTCTTGTAATTACTAGAGCTGTTTTAGAAAACTTGGGGTCTCTACTAACCTAAAACCTAAGTGTATACTCTATGACCGATTCCTGGGTCGATACTGAAGATTAATGAGAATTTCCATAATATTATGTTCAGGTCTGGACCCTGAAACTTTATTCATCATAGTCTCAAAATAGAAAGAACTCAAATTTTCATCAGGAAAATGATTAAAAGGTGTATTATGACAACATAGCCATCAAAATGGACTGTGCCATGTAGTAACGTGGCATAATCATGTAAACAAAATTAAACAGAAAATCAGCAGAATATATGTTGACATTTTTGTTCTGGCTCCATGAATGAACAGCCAAGTGTCCTGGAATATCTGTACATGTGTCCTTGTGCTTAGAGAAGGGTGGTCCCTATGTTATGGAGGAGAGGCACAGACAGCCTTGGAGTCCTCGAAGAAGAGAAGCATGAGGAGAAAAGCACCGAGCAGCATACTGCCCGGCTGGAAGTCACCCAGGTGACCCTTCCCACTGAGCTGGGAAGTATAATGAATTGTAAAATTCATAAGTATAATGTAATATGTGGAAATGAATAAACCATACCTGAAGGCAATAAACTTGAATAAATGGTGCAATATTTGAGTCAAAGGAAAAAAGCCCTTTATAAAACAACCCACAGTCTGATTTTACTCATATTAAATTCAAAAGTAGGCAAAACCTAAGCAAGCCATAGCTGTGGGAATAAATTAGTTGTTTAACTTTTCAGAGGACAGTGTGGGGAGAGATTGATAAGGGACAGGGAGCACTTTGAGTGTGGCAATGTTGTGTGATCTGGAACACCAACATTTGTTTAGTGGTTTTACGTTTTGCCTTACATGTAAGTTGTGTGCATTTTTCTTTCCTTGTTTTTGGTTTTTAGGTTTTGGTTTTGGGACCACACCCAGCTCTCAGGGCTTACTCCTGACTCTGTGGTTAGGGATCACTCCTGGCGGAAATCAACCATATGTGGTGCTGGAGTGAACCTAGACTGGCTGTGTGTAAAGCAAATACTTTACCAACTGTATCTCTGGCCCCTGCAATTTTCTATAAACTTAATATACTTCTATTACAAGAGTTAGAAGATACCTAAAATTAATGTAGCTATTGAATTTTCTTTTTAAAAACCTGTTTATAAGTCTTTAAAAATGCAATTTTTAAAAAATGTACTGTTTATATTACACATAGGTTCTTTCACATTATTAGAAAATTTTAACTTTGATAGCATATAACTTAAATTTCGTGTTGTTGTTGTTAGAAAACCATGCTTGTTTGGGGGAGAGTGTGGTGGTGCTCAGGGCTTATTCCTGGCTCTGTGCTCAGGGATCACTTTTGGCAAGGCTCAGGACCATATGGGCTACCAGGGATTGAACCATGTCAGCTGTGTGGAAAGCAAGCACCCTACCTGTTGCGCACTCTCTCCATGGAAAAGTGTACTTTTCAACTGAGTTACATCCATCGTTCTCTCCCCCTTCTCTCCTCTCCTTTTCTCCCTCCCTTCTTCATTCCTTCACTCCTGCAAGGGAGCTGTTCTAACCATGGAGCTGCATTCCTGGCCTTATAGTATATCTTTGATTTCTTATCCTTTAGTTTACTGCATTGTTAGCAGTTTTTCAATTATAAACATGCTTTTAAGTTTGAATTCTGTTCCCTTCTTTGTTTAGGAACCACACCCAGAGCAGTGCTCAGGGCTTACTCCTGGCTCTGTGCTCAGGCATCATTCCTGGTGGTGCTTGGGGGCCATATAGGGTGCCTAGGATTGAACTTGGGTTAGCAGTGTGCAAGGCAAATACTATGCCCTCTGTTCTATTCCCTTTTAAATTTTGTTTCCTTTACACACTTGACATCTTTTAATGTGGAGAGAATGAAGGACTTGTTATTCTTTAATGGGTGTAGCCAAGGTCAGTATAATTCTTTCCCTTTATAAATTTCTTATATGTAATTTAGTTATTAATTTCTGTTCATATTGTTAAATTTTTGCCATATTGAAGATGCAAAGTTTATTATATTTGCAATTTCCAATGAGAATTGTATCAACTAATCTTTGTTCCTAGTAGTCTGAAAATTCTAATCTCTAAAAATTTTTGAAGAGTATAATATCCATACATTGTCTTATTCAAGTAGGAGATTGTATTGATATATTTGTTCATATCATTCTTTTTCTAGAGAAAATCTCTTCATGAAAACAAACTGAAGAGACTTCAAGAGAAAGTAGAAATCTTGGAGGCAAAGAGAGAAGAATTAGAAACCGAAAACCAGGTGTTAAATAGGTAATGTGTGTATGTGTATACCCTGTGTTGGTATTTCGATACTCTCAAATTTAATTTGTTAATATATTTTGTTTCCTTATAAAATATATTTTTAAATTAATATGTAAAGAAAATCAAGCTAGTCACCGTATTTGTTATCTATGCAGTTTATTTATTTATTTTCTGACTGAATAGTCCTTGAGAGCCAATGTAACACATGGTCTGTAACACATGCTAGGTCTTTGTGTGTTTTGGTTGGAATTTACAGGAATGGTCAGCTATTGACTTTGGTGCTATAGCACTTTGGTAGTCAGGAGTAGTATGAATTCTTGTTGTTGAGAAACACAGTTGTAGCAGTTGCCTACTTTGTAAAAATTGTGACTACGACTTTGAAAATCAGTTTTTTATTTCCTAGTGTGGAAAAATGCTATTTTTATATACTCTCCTGGCTCTTTATATCTGGCATAGGTAATAATCTGCATCATTAACATTTTTAAGTAGAGAAGAGTTACTGTGTTAAATTAGCAGTAGCATTGTATGACTTTTTGGTTCAAGTTAATTAAAACTAAACCTGATTATGCGCACTTGGGGTTGGGGAGGCATTGGAGATGAAACTCGGGGTCTCTTGCATACCACTGAGCTACATCCCTGCCTCTATCAGGTTACCAAAATGTCTTTTCAGGAGATGAGGAGATAGTTTAAAGGACAACACATGTCTTCCCTTTGCGAGGCTCCAGATTTGATTCAGGGCACCATGTGGCTCCCAGTATGTACAGTTTAATCCTGGTGTCTCCATGCACCATGGGTGTGGTGGTCCCTGTGCACCTAAAGCTTTGGGCAGCAATGCCAGGAATGGCCTCCTAAGCTTCCAAACTCTGCTAGGGAAGCCCATTTTTAACAAGTTTTTTTAAATTTTGGCTAATGTGTAATGGTCTTCAGCATTTAGACAAATATTCTGTTTTATTTTTTAAAAAAAAATTGCAAATTGCTTGCAGTATTGAGCTAATGGCTTATGATTCTAACCAAGACACCACTGCAGCCATCATGCATGATCTAACCTTGGTCTGATCACAGTGCACCACACTCCAGTGACTAGGCAGTGTTCTGTGATACATGAGATGCAGTAGTTCTCTTATATATAGTTAACACCAAAATGTGAACAGTTGTTTTTTTGTTTTGTTTTGTTTGCTTTTTGGGTCACACCTGGTGATGCATGGGGGTTACTCCTGGCTTTGCACTCAGGAATTACTCCTGAAGTGCTCAGGGGACCTAGTGGGATGCTGGGAATCGAACCTGGGTCATCCACATGCAAGACAAATGCCCTACCCACTGTACTATGGCTCAAGTCCCATGAACAGTTGTTTTTTATTTTATTTTATTTTATTTTATTTTATTTTATTTTTTGAGGAAGGGATTTCCTAAGTGGTGTTCAGAAGGTCAGGCCTGTCTGGCAATTCTTGGCTAATTTTACTGGCAATTCAATTTACAGGCCTAAAGACTGGTACAATGAGTGTTCTGTGGTGCCAGAGATGACCTGGTTCACCCCAGTGGTGCTTGGGTGCTCCAGGACCATAACAAATGATATTTAGGAGCCTCCAGGGCTGTGCCTGGTGATGCTCAGGTGACCAAGTGATGCCAGAGAATGAACTGGGCTCGGCCACATGCAAGGCGATGTCTTAACCCCTGTACTATTGCTCTAGCCCCAGTTAATTTTGTATAGGGTTTGTGCCCAAGGGCCTCTTCCAGCAATGCTCGACTGGTAGTGTGGACCTGACTGGTCAGTGCTCAATGTCCTGTGACTCAGTGTCTGGCAGTGCAGGGGTCCTGGAAAGTAGTATGTGACAGTGCTCAGGGCATGGGGGGTTGGGGCATTTGGTACCAGGATAAAACCCAGGGCTTCACATGTGCTATGCATGTGCTCTACCACTTTTGAACCACATCCCTGGCCCTGAACAGTTGTTTGTTTTTTTTAAAGAATACTCAAGCTGTTTCTAGACTGTGGGATTAATGCCAACTTTACAGTACTCTATTCTAAACTAAGAAGCTGCCAAATTCATTCTGAAACAGAATTCAACTTCACAGTCTCTTTCATCACCAGTAATTTTGAAATATTATCAATTCAAGAATGGGCATCAGTGGTGCAGATCATCTAGATGTCTTGAGCAGTATTGAACCTATTTGATCACTGCTCTGATTGATGGTCTAGAAATTCATTTCCAAAATGATGTTAATTTGTGATGGACTGAAAAGTTAGCTTTTATATCTATGTTATTTTTCCCCTAAAATTGGGTAGCTTCACCTTTGTTATTAGTCACTTTAAAAATTAGGTTGAACAATATATATAAAAAAAAAAGGGCCCTCCCATTGATCATTGATTTGCTCGAGCGGGCCCAGTAACATCTCCATTGGAGACTTTGTTGTTACTGTGTTTGGCATATCGAGTACGTCACGGGGAGCTTGGCAGGCTCTGCCGTGCGGGCGAGATACTCTCGGTAGCTTGCCGGGCTCTCCGAGAGGGACGGAGGAATCGAACTCGGGTCAGCCATGTTGGCTGCGTGTAAGGCAAACGCCCTACCGCTGTGCTATCGCTCCAGCCCATATAAAGTTGATAATATTTTAATCATATTTACGTATTTTAATCATATTTGCCCTGTAATAATGAAAGTTTCATAAGATTTGATCTAGTATTTCCTATTTGATTTATTTCTGTACAGTGAGGCTTTGTTTTGGTGCAAGGGGTCTGTTTCAGGACTTATGGGTAATTGGGGATGTGGAATGGAAATGAAAGTATGAAAAGCTATTCAACCTTAGATTAGCAAGTAAAACTAAAATGAATTGATAGCTTTATTGCTAATAATATATATGACTTGTTTATTTTGGAGGGACCACATCTGATATTGCTCAGGGGCTACTACAGGCTTAGTACTTGAGAGGCCATGTGGTATTGGGGATCAAGAATTCGACGTCTGTAATCCAGCCTGTTTAGCTCTCTCTGGTCCAAAATAGCTATTATTAGCATTCCATGCTTCTGGAACAAAATTTAACCTATATTTGAATATAAGTAACTCATAATTTATAATTCCTCTTCAAATTTAGTTATATGCACATAAAATGCTATACATCTTACGGTTCAATAAAATATAATTGTATTAAAGACAGGAACACTTATTTTTTTTTAAGGCAAAATGTTCCATTTGAAGAATATACAAGGCTTCAAAAAAGACTGAAGGATATACAGAGAAGACATAATGAGTTTCGAAGTTTAATTTTGATTCCTAACATACCTCCAACTGCATCCATCAATCCTGTTAGCTTTCCATCATCATCCATGGTTCCAGGCATGGAATTACCATTTCCTCCTCATATGCAGGTATGAGCATGTTAGGCGGAAAATGTGAAAAAGATTTACATTTCTGTAAATCTCTATCCCTTAACTATTGAGTTAAAATTATGTAATTTTGAATGTGAATTAGGTCAGAATTAGCTGCACAGAAAAATGGCATAACCCTTAAAACTCAGTAAAAAACAAGAAGTAAATAGATTTGCACCAAATCTATTCTTTTGTGATGGTGCTGGGAATGAAATCTTTTGGGCAGGAGAAAAGAAATTTGATTAAATCTTTTGAGTAACTTTGTTTGTAAATCGCTTGAGCACTAGACATTTTCCAGTTGGTATTTTATTTAATGCTAATAATAAATGCACCAAAGTGAAGGTATAATTATTCCCAGTTTAGAGGTGAGAAAATTGAGTCATAGAAGTGAAGTGACTTGCCCAAAGTCATAGCAGATAAACTTAAATATGTCCGATTTTAAAACCTGGGCTCTTTCTAGGTTTTAGATATAGGGGAGGAGTCAAATTGGTTGGATGATTTTTCAGGAGATAAATGATTCATAAATGATTGCAAGCATTATAAGCACTGGAGCATTTAGTCACTGAACTGAATTTCAGACAAACTGCTTTGCTTATAATAAACAATTCTACTTATAATAGATTTGTTAGAAATTTGTGATATAAGTACATCCACAGCCTGCATTCATATTTTCGAATATACTCCTTGGTCAGCTCTACACCCAGATTAGAATAGACTTTGTGTCTTGTTTAAGGTAGGAGCCTAAGACAGGACAGAAGCAGGGACTGGTTAGTACAGCCCATTCCTCAATTTTCTTAGACAACAGAATGGTCATCCTTTCCTTGCCAGATGCTGCAGGCCTGAAATGGAAGAGGCTGACTGAGGCCGCTGCCCAACAATTTTTTTTCTCTCTTCCAATTTTTATTTAGCATGGTGGTTTACAATATCGTTAAATAATAGAGTTTCAAGTAAATTGTGTCCTACACCACGTCCAACACCCGTGTTAGAGTCCCTCCACTAGTGCCATAAGGTCCCCCCCACCCCTAGCGCATGCCCTCAGTACACTCTCTTTTAAAAGGCATTTCATTAGTATAGTTTGGGTCACATGTGTACCATAGTGTTAGCATTTGGTTCTACTCTATACAGTGATCTCCCTCTCCACCACCATAGTGCTCTTGACCTTCCACCAATGACATTTGTTATATCCAGTCCACTATCCCTCCACCCACCCCCAACTCCACCCCCATCTCTTGTCATTCTCAGCTCTGTAATCCAGGGCAAAGGATTTAATTTTCTTGTCTTGTTTCTCTGTATATCACAGATGAATGAGATCATCTGGCAATTTGTCTTTCTCCCTCTTATTTTACATACTTTACATACATAATGCTCTCCGGTTCCGTGCAAGTTGCAGTGAACCAAACAGTTCTTTTCCAATCAGATTTTCTAACGGTTTGTTTCTCTTTCTCTACATGATTTTAAGGAGGAACAGCATCAAAGGGAACTATCTCTACTTCGCAAAAGGCTAGAAGAACTAGAAACAACACAGAGAAAACAGCTAGAGGAACTTGGATCTCCTGGGGAATGATGTTCTTAGAGAAATAGCAGATCAAAGGAATAAAATCAGTGACTCAATAAAGCCTGAAGTTTTCATGTATGTGGCATTTAGATCCCTTATTACTGTTTGCCAAAACACTCCAATGTGCCTCAAGAAAAGGTACCAGCTACCTACCGTGTTGCATAAGGGTTGGAAGTTCAGGATCACCCTAATGACAGAGAAGCAGTAAAAACAGTTTGAGATGTTTAAATATTTATTGACAACCCTCCAAGAAAGAAAAAATGGAAAGGAATAATAGGGAATCAAGTTTTAAATTACTGGATTTTTTTTTTTGCGGGGGTGGGGTGGGGGAGGGGGTTGACATTTTTGCCTGAAATATGCCCATGTTGAATTGCCTCTTGAGATACTTGATAATAACGTCAGTAAAGTTTTTCTGATTTACCTTATATAAGAATATAAACCACTAGTTATTAAAAACTTGACAATTTAAGTCATAAAAATTTAATCTACATTCATGACTGAATGCTACCTTTTCTAAAAGCTGTGTACATAATTTATTAAAGAACTTAATATTTTTCTAACTATATTGTCTTGTGTTTAATCTTATATCAACCATATAGTATGTATTTAGCAAGGTAGAAGATCTCACTGATTTGGCTTTGCCGAGTTAGAGTTAATAGAAAATAAAGTACAAATAATTAAATCCAATTGCTGTATAAAAAAAGGCCATTCATTGTAAAACTTGAACCCAGTGGGATCCCTTTAGAAATATTGTTGATAGTTAACTTCACCTCCTACTGTTTTGGATCTAACCAAATAATTATAAATGTTTTATTTCTGTGCATCCCTAATGCCAATGTTTGTTTTTTTTTATGTAACATCTTTTAGAGGAATTCTGCTGAATAGCTTCATGTTAATGAAACAAAGCTCAAGTCTGCCAAACTAAGTGGAACGTTCATTACTCAGAAGTCTTCGTGATCAAAAGCACAAGTTGGTAGTGGAAGGCCAGGAATGTAATTGAGTTGCCCTTAGCATCATTTAAAACAAACTGGATTTACTTGCTACATAATAGGCCTGCTTATTCATGACAGCTTCCTAAAAATTTCCATGAAACCACTTAGAATTAAAAAAAAAATATTAAAAGCTGAAAAATTGACGAGAAAGGAGATAACAGTCCACATTTTACATCAAAATGTTTATTTTTTGGATATAGACATTTAAAACATTCATCTCCGAGAACAGCTTCAATCAGGTATACAATAAGAAATAGACTTTAAATCCCTAATACGGAAAAGGTAACAGAATTAATTTTTAAATGCTGCTGTAGACACTAGTGTTAGGAAAAAAAAAGTTTATAAATGAATTGTTTTGCACCAAAAAAATAGGCAAAAAAACTTGAAAATAGAAATTGTTTGTCATTTGTTTCTCTGGTTGCTGTTTACTATAGACCCAGTGACTGATTGTCTTCAGCACACATCTAATTTGGCCATTTCCTGTGTTTGGCTAACGTGATCTAGATAGTGCTCTTCACTGGAGGATTGACAAACACGCTACATACATTAGTGAATCTTCACACCACCTCAGTGAGGTAGGTTAGAAATATTATACAGAAATTGAGGCACAAAGAGGTAAGTGACTTGCCCAAAGTTCCCAGCAGCACAGTCCCTGGAAGAGGAGGTCAGTTTCCATACTGGGCTCTGTGCCAGAGAGCTGGACAGGGACACCCTCATGTAGCATCGACTCTAAATACGGAGATAAAGCTGTAGCTGATCCTTTGAGTTTTCTTAGCATTTTTGTACCCTAAAGAAGGGGAAGACCTTTGGGCAACTCTCCTACCCTTGGCTCCCAACTCTCCTACTATAGTTCATTTAGGAATGCCTTCACGTCAAGACTGTAGTAGTCTTAGGAGGGACCAGATCGTTCACCTATAAGTAACCTATTTGGTAGTATTTTTGAGGTGTGTCCATTGGACAGACAATGGTCAGTAGCAACGGGCTTGGGAAGGTGCCTGCCGGGGCAGTAACTGCTTATTTTCTCTGATCATTTGGTTGAGGCATCACCTGTACCAGATATTGTGGGACAAGAAGAATTTCATTGATGACAAATTCACATTGAAATCCTGATATGCTGTGCAGTGTTGAGAAGTGATTTTTAAGGAATGTGTGATCAGTGCTTTGCTACTTGAGAAAAAAATTTCTTTTTCTGGGATTCAAGCACCAAGGGTAAAAGGTGCCACAAGGAAAGTTTGAGAGTTGCCAATTAGAGTTTTTATTTCTAGCTTAATAGAAGGAAAACACAGTGGTATTAAAATTGGTCATGAGCAGCAAAAATTCAGGAATAAAAAACCAGCAATAAAAAGACTATATAATATAACTGGATAAGGGACTTTTTTTTTGTTTAAAAAAAAAGGCATGAATAAAATGGGTATTTTAAATTCTCTCTCCTGTGAGGAATACTTTCAAAAAGTACATAGTAAGACTAAGATACCAAGTTGTATACTAATATTTTTCAGGCCTTAGGCCTCAAATATATATATATATATATTCATATATAATACTCCAGTGTGAACAATCTCATGAAATGTAAAATGTATCTTTTTTAAAATCACACACAGTATTTATAAACCACAGGTTTCACCAGAAATCTAAAGCAAGGAGACACTAGTATAGAAATGGAGGAACAGGGAAATGAGTTTACTCTTCCACAGATCTGATCAAAGTTTTTAAACTAGTGACTTTTTTTCTTTACAATGGCCAACATATCCACTATTAAATACATTTCGTATGAAAAAATAAAATCTAAGAAAGGATATATTAGGACAAAGTGGTGAAATGGTCCATTTCAATAACGCCTACTCCCTCTCCTTGCTTTAGAGCTCGGGAGTGAAATGGAGGTGTAGGATGGAGTGCAGTTGATGACCACTGAAAAACACGAGCCCTTTCAACAATGTTGCAACACTGTTAGTTTTTGGTTTAAACACACACACTCACAAATGCTAAGTGTACACACTACCAAATTCTGCGGTCAGCTCTTCCAGGAACTACTGGGGAGAGCTTCGACCTGTGAATCCTCGAGGTTGCCCTAACCACCCCCGCCTTGTTTCCAAATGACGCATTTCACATTTTGTTTCTGATCATTGGCAGTGTCCCTTTCCTGCAGAGGTGCAGTGGAGTCACAAGTGCTACATAGCTGTAGTTTTCAAACAAAACCACTTATATCATTGTGCTTAAGTGGAGGCTGTCGATCCAATACTGACACTTGCTTACTGGCCCTGTATTCTCTGTAAACAAGGAGGCTGTTGCAACAACCACTTCAACTCTATTTACAGGAGGGTTCCCATGGGATACACAACAGGCACAATGGTTGGTATGCTTTCTGAAAGCTGTGCATGTGCCTTGGTCTTGTAAAAAGACAGTGCTCAAAGTGGAACCTATGTGCAAACTTAAAAAATTAACGACACAGAGTAGCTCAAGCAGCCATTTTGCTCCCAAGTCGTCTGAAGAACTTTGCCAGATTAAGTCAGGGCCCAGAGTGCTTACATCCACTTGCATTTCTTCTTTTCATCAAATAAGACTTTTACATGCAAGAGTTGTTTCTGAGCTTCTTCCAGCCCTCGTTCTCTTTCTAGTTTATTTAGAATCTGTTGACAATTAGAACAGTTATTTTAGATATTGTGGTTTTAGCATTACAATTGTTTTTTTTCTTTTTGGTTTTTTTTGTTTTGCATTCCTGATGCTGTGAGTGGTAAAATCTGTATGAAACAGATGCCAACATTTTTCTTCGATCATTTACATACTCACTTTGCAAGTTGTTTTGCTAAGTCATTATCACAGGATCAACAACACTTTGGCTTAAAATAGAAGCTCACGAGAAATATCAACTATTTGCTTACAAATATGTGAGGCCAGACTTCCAAGGCCCTATTTTATGCATATGTCACAGCCATTCCAAGCACAGCGAGCATTCCTGGGCAGCCAACATGCAGGCAAATATTTCTTCTTAAATGCAGCAGGCAGGGGCATCCTGGTCAAAGAGGATGACTTTTCCCTCCCCGCTCCTCCCATCTTGGGCAGTGTCACACCCCTCCCCTGACCCCTCCCCAGTGCTTCCCTTCTGACCCCTGACCCCTGGAAAGAGGGATGCTTATCATGTTAAGGAACTCATTGCCTCTACCCTACCTTAGTGCTTCACTTGATCTTCAAGTAGCAAATGGAATTGGTGAGCTATTCTCACCATGACATGGATAGCCTGTCCCAGCATGGCTGGGTGGGGGGAATCAGGGAAGGGGGAATTAACATATATTTGGAAACAGCGCATCTGATGACTATGTCTGTGTGAATTCCCAAAGAAAAAAATCCAGATTAAGGAGAATTAATCATAAAGGAGAATGATTTATTGAAATAGTTGCTTAAGTTAGAAATAATGTCATCATTTCACATAACTATTGAATACAGAATCTAGGCGATTTTAACAAGCTTAGCTTTTATTTTAGCAGATTACAATGAAGCATAAGCTGGCCCTACATCATAGGACCACTACTTACTCATTCAAGTTGGCTTGAGTCAGTGTAGCTGTGGGCCACATGAACTCAAATGTAAATTCAGGGTGGTCCAGAGGTGGGCAGCATGATGAAACTAAGAGTGGCTGCCATGTGCAGGGCCTGGCTCGATGCCAGAATTCCCCTCTCAAGACAGGCCTTCTGGGGTGCCAGGGCTGTGCTGAGACCTATGAATCCCGGTGGCTGATTCATAACACTTTCATTTTTTAATGATAAACTCACCTCATCAAAATATTTTACGATGTATTTGTAGATTTCTGTCAAGGCCACTTCTTCATTAAATTCATTTTCATGTTTCTTAAAGAGAAAAAGGCTTATTGAGAGATGGAAAGAACCACTGTGAGAACATAAGTAGCCAAATACAGTATGCTGATTCTCTCACAATACCTTAGATTCCTGAGTTAAGAATTCTTCCATTTCTGAAGATGACAATGGAGGCAAATCCCTGATTGCTTTATAATAAGATTTTACTTCCTCTTTGTAGGTCGGGATATCCTTGGCATAGAGAAGTTTATTCGTGGGTGCTTCCTGAAAAATAAAGCAACCACCACAAAAAGAGTCAAAAAGACATTTGTAACCATAGCAAAGTGGCTAAGCCCACACACCTCAGTAGCTCACCTCCTGGTAACAGGCTTCATGCAATAGGTCTGAATAGATGTTGTTGACTGTCATCCTGATAGGTCTGGTGAGTCACTGTTATTTTCAGGCAGATTAAATGCTAATATATTCTGTCTTCCTCTCATAAAAGGACTAAAATTATTATTTTTAC